AGCTGATCTGAAGGAGAAGGATGGACTCTCTTGTGAAAGATTCACCACCTCTGAAAATCTGCAGGAGGGTCTGCCACAACAAGGGAGTCATACGTTTCCTTGCTCCTTCTATCAAGTGGGAATACCAAAACAGCTTTACTGTTTTTCTTTTTTAAAAAACATTGCCATAGAATCAACCGAAAATAATGCTTCCCCTTGCTTTTTCCTTTTTCTAAGTGTTTCTTTGTGTCTGACTTGCTGCAGTAGATTCACCTGGGGAATTTACTAGAGACAGACTCCCAGGCTCAATTTCAGATCAACCCAGAATCCCTGGGGGTGGAGCTTAGTGGTTTTCCCAGGAATCTGTATTTTCAAGGGAGGACCCTAGGGCGTTTCATTAACACTTCACTTTGAAAATTATTGCTTTAGAAGATCAAAAACTTGAAGATATGAATCGTCTTTAGGGTAAGTTGTTATGTGCTGTGAAGTTGGAATGGACTCATAGCTGACCCTCCAGTGGATTCTGAGCCCCTAAGGGGGAGATTGCCCATCTTTCTCCCTAGGATTAATTGATGGATTTTAACAGCCTTGTTTTTTGGGTTGGCAGCACAACCCCTTAGCACTAAGCCACCAGAACTCACTTTCAAGATTTCTACTGTCTTTGGAAAGGACAATTGGGGGAGAAAATGGATATGGTTTGGCTCTGGCTGGGCCCAAATCAGGAATAATGACAGAGTCTCTCACTTCCAGCTCTCACTGTGGAGCTCTCACAATCACTAAGCGGCTGCCCTCCACCCACTTAGGGGAAACATATAAAAAAGAAAACTAAAAAGCGATTCTGTGAGCTTCTGGAGCTCTTATGGCCTAGTGGTAAGAAGCTGCACTGCAATCCTGAAGGCATGTGGTCTGATTCAACCAGCTGCTCTGCAGGAGAAGTATGGCCCATCTCCTCTCATGTAATTAACTGCCTCTGAAAACCACTAGAGGGTCAGCTATGGGTGGTTCCAATTTAGCTGTAAGTAGCAACAAAGTAACAACAACAGCATGTAGCTATGGGAACTCTGGGGTCCTAGAGGTAAGAGCTGTACTGCAATCCCGAAGGCATGGGGTTTGAATGCACCAGCTGCTCTGCAGGAGGAGGATGGGCTGTGCCATTGAGCCGTGTGCATCTCACAGCAATCCTCTGTATGATCTACAGTTGGTTCTGACTCATAACAACGAAAACACCCAGAGGGCCAGCTCTGGGTCAGTCCTGACTTGGTGGTTACACAACAACAACACGTAGTTAGATGAGGGTATTCCTTAGAAGGGAACATCGTGCTTGGAAAAAGTGTGATCAAAGGAGAGGAAGACCCCCAATGAGATGGACAGACACAGTGACTGCAGCAATGGGCTCACGTATGTCAGAGATGATAAGGACGACACAGGCTAGAACAGGGTTAGGTCTGTTCATCAAGTTTCTATGAGTTATATTTGACTCAATGACACCTAAAAACAACAACTATATGCCCTCTTTAGTGAACTCGGGTGGCCTAGTCGGTCAGGGGTTACAATGCCAACCCAAGAACCAGTGGTTCAGATTCCCCAGCTGTTCTGTTGGAGAAAGATGGACAGTCTCTTTCCACATGACTTACAGCCTCTGAAAATCTGCTGGAGGGTCAATTATGAGTCGCTTCTGACTCTACAGCAAATAGCAACAAGAGCATGCCTCTGTGGACTGATCAAATAAATAATGAAACACTATACCCTTCCTGCCCTCATTTTCACCTTCCTCACTCTAGCCTTCTCTCTCAAGGCCTGTGCCTGCTATCCGCACAGAGACAAAAGAAAAGAAAGCAGAACTTCTCTCTTTATGAGGGCATCTTTTTTTGAAATATTTTTATTTCCCTTTTCCTAACAGCAATATAGAAACAAATAATCATAAAAAATAAAACTGTAAATTGTCCATCAGTTATGTAATAGCACTTGGTATTGCTAGAAGATACAGGGAAGAGGCCTTGGGCTAGGGTGAGGCCGCCCAGGCTCCGGGCCATTGTGGTTACTATTGAACTCGTGAAGGCATCAGACATCAGTGCACAAGACGGTGCCAACACAGACTCCATGGTGGATACCCAGAGTTTCTTGAGGGTGCAAAGATGACAGATAATGAGTACAACTACCAACAATATTGTATACAAACTGTAAACCAGAAAGGTACATCAGGAAGTTGACAAAGAAGGTTAGGTCAACATCGCTGAGACTCATAGACATATATACACATTAACCTACACAAAGCAGCAATTTCCCAAAGCTGAACACATTTGGTTCATTGCTTATGCTCTCAGGAAAGTAAGGGCACTAACAGACACTTGTCTGTAAGAAAACATAGTTGTCCTTCCCCCTCCTCTGCTCTCCAACCCTTCATCTTTGTTCTCCTTAACTCAATTCCGTTGGGCTGGTCAGTCAAATGACTGTGGCATCTAACCTCTCAAAAGAATTATGTCTTGATCTTAAGTTCCTTTCAGAAAAACAAAGAAAGGAGGAAGGTTATTAGGTGAATTCAGCAAGAAAATGACTCATCTTTCATTGAGCCCATTCTGGTGCTTCCCCCCACTCCCCACCCCTCATTCCGTTTAATATAAAGACTGATATCTAAAATTTAAAAAGGGTTTCAAATGTTGGCATATGTAATGGACTTTGCTGTGGGGCTTGGGTGAGTTGACAGGTGTGTTCTTTGCAGTGTGAGGGGAATCGTGTATGTAGGCCAGGGTAGATACCCCACTATCTCAAGGGCATACTCTTCTAGCATTCTAGCAGGAAAAGAATTCTAGCAGCAAAGCCTCTTCAGAGTTGGCAGTGTTTGTACATGATCCCTGAGGAGAGACTCTGCTCAATACCAAGAACTCTCCTTCCCTTTGTACATAACAGAGAACAAGCCTGAGGGAGGCCTGGCTCTCCACTGAGGTTCTCTTAATGGAGTCCTCTGGGTCTCGGGCTTCCCTCATTGTCCAGATTAGGCTAGAAAACAAATCTTGATGGCTATTTTGTCTTCTTTGAAGGAAGCATAAATCCCCTTTGGATTCACAAGGAAAAGATCAAGTTCCTTTCTAACTAGGAACTATTTGTCTTCATCCTCCCACAGCCAAGCCCACAAAAACTACTTTTTCCCTCTCTCCTTCCTTCCTTCCTTCCTTCCTTCCTTCCTTCCTT